GTGAACCAGTGGATGGAAGGCTTCTCTCTCCCTCTGTCTCTGCCTCTACCTTCTATAACTCTGCCTTTCAAATAAATAAATAAATAAATAAATAAATAAATAAATCTTTAAGGAAAAAAAGAACTATGGCTTTGGAAAATGTACTTAAAAAATATTTAGGGGCTGGTGCTATGGTGTAGCAGGTAAAGCCGCTGCCTATAGTGCTGCCATCCCATATGGGCGCCAGTTTGAGTCCCAGCTGCTCCACTTCTGATCCAGCTCTCTGCTGTGACCTGGGATAGCTGTAGAAGATGGCCCAAGTGCTTGGGCCCTACACCCACATGGGAGACCTGGAAGAAGCTCCTGGCTCCTGGCTTTGGATCAGCACAGCTCCAGCCATTATGGCCATCTGGGGAGTGAACCAACGGATGGAAGATCTCTCTCTCTCTCTCTCTCTCTCTGCCTCTGTCTCTCTCTAACTCTGCCTTTCAAATAAATAAATAGATTTAATTTAATTATTTGAAAGACAGTGTGAGACAGACAGAAGAAGAGAGACAGAGATGGAGATTTTCCTCTTACTGGTTCACTCCCCAAGTGGCCATAACTGTAAGGACTGGGCCAGGTGGAAGCCGGGAGCCTGGAACGCCATTTGAGTCTTCCACATGGGTACAAAAGCCCAAGCACTCCAGCAATCTTCCACTGCTTTCCTAGGCACATTAGCAGGGAGTTGGGTCAGAAGGGAGCAACCAGGATTCAAACTGGCACTCACATGGGATGCCAGCATCACAGACAGTAACTTAACTTGCTATACCACGATGCCAGCCCCAGATAGTGAAAATTTTTGAATTCTAAATTCGTCAGTAAAAAAATAAAAAGAAGAAAAGAAAAAATAGGGTTTTTATTATAGAAATACCATTTATTTGCTTTAGAAACCTCAGACAATGCAAAAGTTACAATTAAAATGATCTGTAATCCCTTCACTAAAAGATAACAGTGTAACAGTGCAGTATCAGATTTTGTGTCTATTTTTTTGCCTCATGCATGTTTAGGTATTTAAAGTCTTGTTTATATGAGGGTACTTCAAAAAGCTCATGAACAATGGAATTAAAAGATAAGTTTGTTTCGGTGCAAAAAAGTCCTGAAATCCATGTGTGTTTTTATCTTAGGTATTTATGTCTTTACTTATTTGAGAGGGAGAGTGACAGAGCTTCCATCTGCTGCTCACCCCTCACATACCTGCAGGAGCCACCATGGCCTGCCTAGAGCTGGGAGCCAGGAACTCCATCCAGGTCTCCTTGTGGGTAGCAAAAACCCAGCCACCACCTGTTAACTCCCAGGGTGTGCCTTAGCAGGAAGCTGGAACTGGGGATGGATCTGGGGCTGGAACCGAGGCGCTCGGATAAGGGATGCATACAACCCAACCAGCAGCAGCTTCCTCGCTGGGCCAAATGCCTGCACCTGCACATGCTCTTGAAGGCCTCTCATAATATTACTGTCAGGTAGCATTTCATATATTTAGTGCCAAATTGTCTTCCCCATCTTATGTATTTACTTGCTTTACCAAACTGATAAGTTCTTGATTCTAAACCTCCATAATGATGCCATTGAAGAAATCCCTTTAGGCCAATAATCCTCAAAGGGGAGCAGTTAATGGCAAGTATGTGTTTCTGGAAGTACCAGGTAGGAAGCTGATTTCTACGTCTCTGCTTGGTTCCCTCCTGTACAGCACTTATCTAAGTAAGTTCTTGTTGCGCTTCTAGTCTCCCTGATAGACTTTGGCAGCAGTGCCTACATGGTTCTGGCATGTGGTACATGTGCAATAAATACTCCAGTAGCAGAACAGACAGAAAGAAGTGTCCCAGAGTCTGAGGCCGGAGTTACACTTTGAAAAAAAAAAAAAAAAAAGAGTTACTGAAATAAGATCAGATGTACTTGCAAAAAACTTATTCAGGAGAAGTAGTAGGAAGAGAGAGTAAGGGTAGTGTTGAGACAGGACAGGGCTGTGAGACACTTCAGGAGAGGTAAGCGTCAGGACCTTCAAGGGAAGTAAAAGCTCCTGTAGTTCGAGAAACTTCCTGGATATTGTCCCCAACAGGTTGCCTTCCCTGGGGAATAGCTTCCCTCCCCAGTATGATGAAGGGATCACATTCTATCCATCCATCATCCCTGTCACTCACTTGTCCTAAGACCCTGAATTGAACGAGCTTTCACAGTAACTACTAAGTAATTTTTGGAATTTATTCCTCACCTGACGTTTCAAAGATGTGGAGGAGAAGCCACTGTCGCGTGATGGAATTCAGGAATGTATAAGCAGAGCCTGCCAGCCACAGGATGGTGGGCAGGAAACTCAGCACTGGGGGCCTGCTGAGGGCTTAGCCCAGGAGGGAAGGGGCTGGTTTGGAGATGGGAGGTGGTGCAGCTTTGCTGGGCAGGCCAGGCTTGTCTTCAGTCAGCCCAGACAACTCACTGAGGTGTTCTGGGTAGTGTAACCATAATGCCAGACAGCTTTGCACATGTGATTTATAAACGGGTGCTTTTTTCATACTGATTTCTTACAGTGTAACTTTAGAATCAGTAGGCATTAAAACCACCTTTAGGGGCCTGCGTCATGGTTCAGTGGGTTAAGTCAGAGCAGTGGTTCAAGTCCTGGCTATTCCACTTCTGCTCCAGCTTCCTGTTAATGCACACGAGAAGGCAGCAGATGAAGTTTCAAGTACTTGGGCCTCCGACACTCCATGTGGGACATTCGGGTGCAGTTTCTGTTCCTGGCTTCAGCGGTCCCAGACCCAACTGTTGAGGCTGCTTGGAGAGTGAAGCAGCAGATGCAGTATCTCTTCCTCTCTGTTGTTCTCCCTTTGAAATAAATAAATGCATAAGTAAATTTTTTTTAAATCGTAAGGGCTGTAGATAAAAATAACAGTTTCTTTTTGCCTCTGACAAACTTAACTTTCTATTTAAGAACATGTCATGATCTTTATTTGCGTATTACTATTCTTTTAAAAAAATTTTTATTGTAAAGGGGACACTGCAAATGTATACCATTCACTTCACTAGCATATAAGGTACATGTGTGACCTGGTTATATAGTATTATTGGAATCATTAGGAATTGGCATGTAGATCCAAAATCTACAAGATAAATTAGAAGCTGTTTTCTTTATTTTTTCTCTTTTTATTGAATTCATGATGAATTTTAAAGACTCTTAATATAAAGGCATTAAAGATAATTAAAATCTTAAGTCAGCGTGCTTTACTTAGAATTCAACAAAGAACAAAATTAGTGAAATGGCAAGCCTGGTTTACTTGCTGAATAATACTTGTCTCCTGTTAAAGTCATGAATAAGAGAGAGGGAATCCTTACAGTTGCATCAGATAGCAAGAGATAAATAAAATAAATGCTGATGTTTATTCAGATAACATCGGTGAATCCAGTGGAAGTCAGGGGTTTCTGGGAGGCTGTGCCAATTGGCAGAGCCAGGAGTATATTATGATTTAATGGTACCTCGCTGCTGCATTTGATGAGCTGTCCTAGAAAAACATTTTGAAGCAATAAAACATCCATTTGGCTCCTGAGTAATGAGGGAAGCATTGCTCTTTGCATTAACTATTTATTCAGGAAGAAAAGTGACCAACTGCTAATAAGCGTTATCCAAAGAGGGTCATGGAAAAAACAGAAGAAAATGTAAAAGTGAGGTTCTCTTCGATTTCGTATGCAATTAACAAATGCCCGGGGCTGAATGGTTGGTGCACCTCTTCCATGTGACTTTTGGACAGCGGTATTTAAGTGTTGAGTGTCCGTCAGATGCAGTACTAACAGCGCCCGATTTTAAGGAAGGACTGCGCAGCCTAACCCAATGACAAGCGAGGGGGTGGCGACCGGTGAGTAGCTAAGATTGCACTGATCTCTAGAATAAGGGACTTATTTTTTAGGTGAGTAGTAGTGTTTGAGGTTCACTAGTTTTCTTGTTTTGGAAAAGGTTTCTTCTTTTTTTTTTTTTTTTTTTAGATGATTGTTGCTTTTTCATTACTTGTGAAATCTGTTCTCTCATACAATATAATGTTTAGAATTATCACTTGATCAAAAGACTTAACCAGACAGCACTTCTTACTTGCTATATGAATAAATATGTTGTTTAGTATTTGGAACTAATTTCTAGGTAGGAATGTAGCATTGTGTTCCTGTTCCCTCCTTCTTTGCTGTTGATGCTTAGGATTTGGTAACTGCAAGATCACAACCAGAATACTGTATTCATGTGCAAATAGGGGTTTCCTTTCAAGTCGTTTTAGCATCTTACCGTGGAGCACTTTCCATGTTATAACAGCGTGAAGTTTTCATTCCACTTGCTGCAAGGTTCTGAATATAATTAATTTTCCTTTTTTAATGACATGAGAAAAGATAAAAGTCAGACTTATTTTCTTCCCTAAAGCCAGCGAGAGGATTTTTAGGCTAATTCTTCCTCTGACTCAAACTAAAACATATTACAGTGGGGCTCTGCACAATGGTGTGTGTGAGGGGGGCCCATCATAGAGATCATGGTAAAATAGGCAGTAGGTTCAGTGTTATTTAACTATTAATAGAATGTTCTTGATAGCATAGTGCACCAATTATTAAATCATTTAACATTGTATTCCTGTGGTTTTTCAGTTAAAATACTTTCCTTATTGAAAACTGTAAAAATTCTAAACTTATGATAAATTACTTTGAAGAACATTGAGAATCAGTTTTCAAGACAGATTCCACAAAATGAGAACACATCACTGTATTTGGGTTCCTAGACTTTGGGGAAGGGCTGAAAGGCCTGATAAGTCAGTAGTAACGGGTTCAAAGACAAAACTTGCTAAAAGTTTGCTTCCCTAGACCTCATTATAACACACAGCGAGAATAAAACTCATTTATACTTAGAGAATCTTCACCAAGGAAATACAGACTCGGTGAGAAGTAGAGGTGCCTTCTAACATGTTGGGTTTCCCAGTAATCCCTTTAGTTGATTAACAATCATCAGATTGGATTATCTCTTTCAGATAATCACTCCCTTTCGAAGGCTAATGCTTTGTGCTGAGAACAGAAAGGAGATGGAGGACTGGATCAGCTCACTGAAGTCTGTACAGACCAGAGAATCTTATGAGGTAAAATAGCATCTCTTCTGTCAACTCCTGTTCTTAGTTCTTTGGTAACCAAAGAATAGAAGCTACACTGTGCAAAAAAAAAAAAAAAAAAGTATGTGTAGCCTCATTTGACATCTTGTTTAAATCAGATTTTGGAACTTCTTACTTGAAGCCAAGTACTTTGGTGTTAAAAATGTCGGCTGTGAAATTGTGATCGTAACTACAGTATATACATTCCAAATAGCTCAGCATCTGTAGTCTTACTCTCTTGCATGGCAAATCTGTCCTAATGTCTCATTTCTAGGTGGCCCAGTTCAATGTGGAACATTTCTCAGGGATGCATAACTGGTATGCCTGCTCCCACGCCCGCCCCACCTTCTGTAACGTGTGCAGAGAGAGTCTTTCTGGAGTCACCTCCCATGGCCTGTCCTGTGAAGGTACTGTAGTATCCAGCATGTATGTGTCCTCTCCCAACAGGCACAGTGCTGTAGATGCCACCATGGATAGTCCTGCAAAGCAAACAAAAACATCCTAGGAAAACAGTTCTCTTGGGTGGGAAGCCAGGGCTGGGGTATCTCAGCTGGAACACAGTTTCGGGTCTTTTTGTTTTTGTTTTTATTTTTTTCTTAACCATAACTTTATCTATCCATCTATCGATCGATCTATCTATTTATCTATCTATGTGAAAGGCAGAGTGACACACAGAAACAGAGAGACAGAAAGAGAGAGCTCTCCCATGTGCTGGTTCACTTCCCAAATGCCTGCCACTGCTGAAGTTGGACCAGGCCCAAGTCAGGAGCCTGGCATTCAGTCCAGGTTTAACACCTTGGAGTCAGGGACTCAAGTACTTGAGCCATGATCTGCTGTCTCCCAGGGTGCACAGTAGCAGCAAACTGGATCAGAAGTGGAGTGAGCACTCATACCCAGGCATTCTGATTTGGGGTGCGTGTGCCTCTAGCAGCTCCTTCATCACTGTGCCAAACACCTGCACTGGTTTTATTGTAGCTTAACATTCAGCTCTGCACACATAAGACTAACCTGGGAAAAATTTTGCTCAAGAAGAGATAATATAAAATTGCTTAAAAGGAAGAATAAACCAAAATATTGCATGTTAGTCCTCAGAAACTAGGAATCACTGTCTCAAAACAAAATGTAACTTTGGACTTTGTAGACCATCTAATACTCTACTCTGAGTTGATCTTGGAGAGCAGGATTTTCTGTGAGGACATTAAGAGGGGATTTCAGAACATTCATGGAAAAATGGAATTAAAAGGTAAGTTTATTTTGGTAGAAAAACATTTGAAATCCATGCATACTTTTTTCATAATATGCATTTTCCATATTTTGGAGCAACCTTTTATATGTGTAGATTTGAAAGTTTTTTGCACCAAAATAAATTTATCTTTTCACTTCTTCTTTGTACCCTTGCATATATTCTTTGGCAGAATTTCTGATCGTTACTTATGTTGCATTTTTTAAACGTTATTTTCGTTTGTGTTATAATTAATATCATTCTTTTTAATTTATTTAAAATTTTCTAAAAATAAAACCTATGCTATCACTTTCTCTATAGGATTTGTGATGTTTTTGTTCTTTTAAGGGTTTATTTATTTATTTATCTGAAAGAAAGAATAAGAGAGAGAGAAAAAGAAAGAGATCGATCTTCCATTGCCTGGTTCACTCCCCAGATGGTCTTAACAGCCAAGGCTGGGCCAGACCAAAGCCATGAGCCGGGCTTCCATGTGAGTGGCAGAGACCCAAGTACTTGGGTCATCATCTGTTGCTTTCCCAGGTGTATTAGCAGGAAGGTGTATCAGAAGCTGAGTAGCCAGAACTCACACCAGGTCTCCCATATGAGATGATGGCATTGCAAGCAGTGGCTTAACATCCTGCACCACAACACTGGCCCTTGTGAGTTTTAATTACATGTTTTGTTTATTTATTTTTTGGGAGGCAAAAAGAGAGATGAAAAGGTAGACAGTGAAATCATCCATCCCTTAGTTCACTCTCAAATGCTGCAATGGTAAAGACTTGGCTGGGAAACTCAATCCAGGAGTTTGATTGACTTAAAATAAGGAGCTGGAAACTCAATCCAGATCTGTCATGTGGGTGCAGAGACCTAATTCCTTGAACCATTGCCACCACCTCCCAGTGTCTGCCTTAGCAGGAAACCGGAATCAGGAGCCACAGCCAGGAATTGAACACAGCCATTCCAAAGTGGGTTGCAGACATCTTAACTGCGGGGCCAAATGCCCACACCTGATTTTTTAAAATTTATCAAAAGTAAGTACATTAAAAATCACCAAGAGAAAGCATATAACTCTTAAAAATTTATTTCATATCTCAATGATCACACCATTGTGAACTGCTTTGTGAACATATTGTAGTAATATGAAGAACTTTTTTCTCTAATGTGAAAATTTCTTAAGTATTTTGGAATATAATTAATATTAAGTAATAAAGTAGTAATTGTCACAGTTTTAATAGATTTTCTAAAGAATTATTTTATTATTTATTTGAGAGAGAGAGAGAGAAAGAGAGAGATCTTCCGTCTGCTGGTTTACTCCTCAGATGGCTGCAAAAGCCAGGATTGGGCCAGGCCAAAGCCAGGAGCCTGGAACTCCATCTGGGTCTCCCACATGGGTGGCAAGGGCATAAGCACTTGGGCCATCTTCTGCTATTTTCCCAGGCATATTAGCAGGGAGCTGAATTGGAAGCCGAGGAAGCTGGGACTTGAACCAGTACTTCCATGGGATGCTGACGTTGCAGGCATTGGCTTAATCTGCTACACCATGATGCCAGCCCCTACTTAATTTTAAATTATAAATTATGGACTACATCATTGTTTCATCTATTTAGTGTCATACAGAATTCTAGTTACATAGCGCATTTGAAGCTCCCTACCATTTCTTCCATTGTAAATCATAATCAGAAGAAGCAGTGTCATGCATTTAGACTATCCTCATCTGTAAAATAAGATAATAGGAATTTATAGCTCATAGAATCACTATGAAAATCAAATCAGAATACATATAATAAAGCTATTTTTCTAGTCAAATAAATTTTAGACGTTTTTATCTGTGTCCTGTAAGATGTGTATCAAATAAATAATTGCAGACTGAGTCATAGCCTGGTACATTAAAATTCATCAAAGTGAACATTTGGAGAAGATAGTAACCTTTTTTTTAATTTAAGAAATTATGGCAGACAGAAATTAATTGGCCTTTATGACTTTAATAACTTGAATGGGCTCATTTTATGTAGATCTGAGGCACTCCCTACAAGTTCTGTAATATTATATGGTACTGTTTTGAACATTTTTTTAATTGACTTCTGATCTCTCATTGCCTCAAACGCTAAAAAGAATGCTTGACCTGACACATCATGTGGTATTTCTGATTTGTGAGGTGTTTGTTATTGAGTGTATTTAATTATTTAGGAGTTGAGTCAGTAGTGAATGATTTAATGATTTTCTAAGCACTTTAAAGGAAAAACGCACATCAGTTGGTGAGAATAAAATGCTTACGTGTCTCTAGGGGCGGGCATTGTGGTGCAGTGGGTTACGCTGTCACATGGGACACCTGCGTCTGTATCAGAGTGCTTGGTGGAGTCTTGGCCACTCCTCTTCCTGCTAATGCTCACCCTGGGAGGCAGCCGGTGACCAGTACAGCTTTGAGGCCCCTGCCACCCATGTGGGAGTCCTGCATGGTGTTCTGGGCTTCTGACTTCAGCCTAGCCCAGCCCTGGCGGTTGTGGGCATTTGGGGAGAGAACCAGAGGATGGAAGATCTCTCTCTTTCTCCCTCTTCCTGTCTGTCTCCCTCTCCTTTTCCCCTCCTCTCTCTGTTTCTCTCTTTCAACTAGATGAAAATAAATAATCATTCAAGAAAAAAAATATTTGTTGATATTTTAAAAAATAATGAGTAAATATTTTTTAAATACTTATTTGAGAGGCAGAGTCATAGACAAAGAGAGGGAGCATCAGAGAAAGAGAGCTTCCATCTGCTGATTCATTCCCTAAATGGCTACAACAGTTGGGTAGGCCAATCCAAAGCTAGAAGCCAAGAACCTCCTCTGGGTCTCCCACATGGGTGCAGGGGCCCAAGCACTTGGGCCATCTTCCACTGCTTTCCCAGGCCATTAGCAGGGAGCTGGATTGGAAGTGGAGCAGCCAGGACACAAACCTGCACCCATGGGATGCCAGCACCACAGGTGGAGGCTTAACACAGCATTGGCCCCCATGAGTAAGTCTTTAAAACAAGGTCTTTAAGTACTTTTTGTATTCTTCCATAAATAATATAGTCTTCCTGGCATTTTTTCTGTTACTAGGTTTAAAAAATTTTCTAGGAATTTATATATTAGTTTTTAATTTTGTCTGCTGGTAAAATTTGTAAGTCTGTAATATCTTGCCCATTAGTATTTTTGGAGCCACAGCAGAAGATTTTAAAATTCCCCAGGATTTTATAAATCCCCAGATCAATTGAGAATGTTAATTATAATTTCACAGCATAATTGCCCTTCACAATTAACAGTCATGAAACAAAAAGAGGTTAAGTTGGAATTTTAAAAAATTTCATATTGTATATTTAAAAGAGATACACAGAGACAGGGAGTGGGAGAGAGAGAGAGGATGAATCTCCCACCTACTGGTTCACTTCCCAAATGCCAGCAACAGCTGGGGCTTGGACAGGCTGAAGTGTGGTGCCAGAACTCCTTCCAGGTCTCTCACACGGGTGGCAGGGACCCAGGTATTGGAACTGTCACCTGCTGCCTCCTAGGGTGCACATTAACAAGCAGCTGGAATCAGGAACAGAGCTAGGACTCGAACCCAGGCATCCATCGAGTATGGGACAGACATTCCCACAGATGTTTTAATTGTCAGGCCAAACATAAATATGTCAAGATGGGTAGCTACAAATTTTTATCTTAATTGCTATTTAACACTTAACAAAGATTCAATGTGGTAAAGTTTAAATAATGCGATGCAAATCATAATTTTATCATCAGTATAGTTTTTAAGTTCTGTAGTTTTAAGTAATGGCCTTATAAGTCAGGGAAAAGTGCTTTATTTCAGAATAACTTGTCTGCAGAGATTTAATTGTCATCTAACAAAATTAAGTTGCCTGTTAATCATTTCCATTCCTTAGTGACCGTAATTACAGTCTGATTGTTTTATTGCTATAACTATATTTATATTAAGCAACTTTGTCTTCCTGAAAGTTCATTGCTTAAAGTACTTTATTATTATAAAAGTAATCATTTTTTGTTTTTAATGAGCTGTTTGATATTTAATGGTAAAATTTTTAAAATGTGATGAAATTATCCCCTTTTACCTTCTCATCCCCTCAGAAATCGAGTATTCATTGTTAATATCAAGTATTTATTTTTATTTAAAAAATACCCTGGGGACTCTATTCCAGCTCATTTGGGGACATCACTTTTGAGAAATACTGTAATGAATGAAAAGGCCTAGAAACACTAACCTAACACAATTTAAACAGTCACATGTATTGGAACCAAAGGGCCATGATCAAATTCTCCCCCAATCTGTGTTTACATCCTGTAGTGCTAGGTCTTCACACTTACTATATAGTGGTAACAAAGTTCCCTGAAATGTTACCACTTCCTACGTGAAGACTGTGTTCCAGTCACACAGTCGTGAATAGAACACACGGTGGGATCACCAGGAAAGGATTTGTCAAAGTACAAGGAAAAGCAGGTAAGTAAAACATGTTCAATGTCTCTGAACCAATGTTTGTCAAGGAGAGCCCAGCTGAGTTTAAGTGTTTAAGTGACCATTTGTATAACAGTAGTCACAGAATTTGAGACATTTTGAACATTGGGTTCTAGACCTCTGAGCTATTTTACTGGAACCTTTCCTTTTCGTGTTATGTCAGATTAGGGCAGTTTAAGGAGGATGATGTGTACCTCCTCAGGTGAGATTTGTTAGTGACTGACATCATAAAGTCCAGGAATCACGTGTAAGGAGCCAGCTTACATTTACATTTGGCAACAGTTGTTATGTTTTGACTGAAGTAATCTCTGAAAAGTTGGGAACCGATAGAACACACTCATCCATGAGTGCTTGGATAATTTGCTTCCAGAGGGAGACAAGTATGTCTGGCAGTAGTCACGTTTTGATTTTCATAAGCTTGGTTACTTTTTCCAATAACCTGTGGTTTTACTTGTTTTTCCTTATATGAGATACTGCTTCCCTAGGTATTACTTCTCTTTTCCAAGCTCCATTATGATAACGTTGTTGTGGGAGTGTGTTCCCTGGCTGTTTGAGTCCAGGCTCTTGCCCCTGTGTAAGATAAGAATTCAAAGCAGGGACATAAGTGAAAAAATGGGAGCAGGATTTATTTAAAGAGAGAGAGAGTGAATGTACCTTCATCAGATGTGAGTGTGGGCAATCCCACAAGGACAGACACCTGCCATGAGGTGGATCTAGCTCCATGTGGAGAGGGAAGAGGGCAGAGGGAGAGAGACCCAGAAGGAGTGAGTAAGAGAGAAAGGCTCCTCCTGCCTGGTCCAGTGGACCCTTTCATTGGGTAGGAGATGGGGTCCTAATTGAATACACAAAGGTGGGGGTGGACTTTGGGGTGGGGGCTCAGTACACATCATGTCCTCTGGGGAAGTTTTCATGGCATCTCCAAGTGGAGCTCAGTGCACACATAAGAGGCTCAGATGCATCATGGGGAAGTGAATGTGCTAAACTGGCATGCAAGGGGGTGGTTAGGGTACAGGGCTAGAGGTAGAAACAGCAAAATCTTCCAGTTCACTGTTCCCTGAGCGACTCCTTGCCTATCCCACGTCAGTCTGGCTGGGGAGAGTCAGTGAAGCTGACGATGAGTATGTTACTTGATCATTTAGTCCTGCATTTATACTATGGCCATCCCAATGTAATGCTTGTAAAAGACAGTGCTGTCTTTGTGACCCCTATCAACCTATTTCTCATGGTGCATGGATGTTTTTTTGAGGTACTTGCATTTTAAAACTCTTTGAATTGTCTTTATCTTAGTGACAATTTCAGACTTCTTTTTTGTAAATATATCATACCTATTTATAATATGCTGTATGTATTGCATTATTCAAACATGTGCATTATACATAGAGAACATTGCATATATCAACATTGCACACCTTGATGAATTTTCTTACTTAAACACATTCATGTAATCAATACTCAGGTTAAGAAATAGGATGGAAGCAGATGTTTGGCGAGGGGTTAAGATGCCACTTGGGATGCCTGAGTCCTATATCCAAGTGCCCGGATTTGGGTCCTGTTCTGTTCCTGATATCTACTTCCTGCTAAAGTGTACTCTGGGAGGCAGCAGGTGACAGAAGTAGTTGGATCCTTCTGCCCACATGGGAGACAGGTTGAATTCCTGGCTGCTGGCTTTGGCCTGGCCCACTGTTGACTGTTGTGGGCATTTGGGGAATGAACCAGCGAATGGAAGACCTCTCTCTGTCTCGTCTCTCTCTGTCTCTGTCTCTCTCTCTCTGTCTGATTTTGTTTCTCTACTTTTCACATTAATAAAAGAATACACATATATTTCAAAGCAATGATAGGATGTTACCAGCCCCCAGTACTGATTTTTATTTGATTGTATATGTATTTTCCCTTTCTTCTCCTCAAACACTTGTTCATTTGTATTAAGTTCCTTCTGTTCTGTTAAGTAGCATGTTATTCATCGCCTGATAAAAGCGCTTCCTGAGTACATAGCTGTATTTGTCTTTGAGACTATCCTATTGTTGGAGAGTAATTCAGACTTCTAAGCTTATTTGTTCTTGGGGCTGACACTGTAGCATAGTGGGTAAAGCCACCTTCTGAAGTGCTGGCATCCTAGATGGACACTGGTTCGAGTCCCTGCTACTCCACGCTAATCCAGTTCTCTACTTACTGCCTGGGAAAGCAGTAGAAGATGGACCAAGTCCTTGGGCCCCTATACCCCATGGGAGACCTGGAGGAAGCTTCTGGCTCCTGGCTTTCGATCAGCCCAGCTCCAGCCATTATGGCTATTTGAGGAGTGAACTAGCAGATGGAAGACCTCTCTCTCTTTCTCAATGCCTCTGGCTTTCTGTAACTCTGACTTTCAAAGACGTAAATAAATCTTTTTTTTTTTTTTTAACTTGTTCTTCTTCTACCTCTTCTGACTCTTGAAAAAAAAGAATCTCACACACTATGCTTTACTTTCATCCCTGGTCTCCATATAGTTGTTCTCTGAAAAGTGATTGCCTTTTCTGTTCTGTTTCGCCTTTTAGTGTGTAAATTTAAGGCTCACAAAAGATGTGCTGTGAGGGCCATGAACAACTGCAAGTGGACCACACTGGCCTCCATCGGGAAGGACATCATAGAAGATGAAGACGGAGTAAGCTGCTGCCGAGCCCGGGGCTTTCCCACTGCCCCTTCCCGTTGTCCACCGCTGTGGAAGAGGAGGATAGAGCATTAAGTGGGGAGATCTCCTACTAGGGTCAAACATTGTTTCTGAGTTTTGGGTTTCATTCCAGTCCTTCATAGTATTTTCCAGCTCTTGGATTTTTTGAGGGGAATCGATTGTGAGTTGGGTTTAGAAGTGGCTGCTGGACTGCACAGGTGTTGCAGGCCCCATACCTCATCAGCTTGGAGATTTTTTAAGGCTCAGATGAGAAATGTTCTTTCTTTAGATTAGGGAGCGCCCCCTCCCCCTGCGCCCCCTCTCAACAGTACCCCTCATTTCCTGATCTTGCCTCCATGGTCTCTTGCATGGGGGTTTCTGACTGCCCTCATTGGTGGCTTTACCAAACCAGTTACCTGCTGCTCTTCTCAGCTAGACCTCCCCTGAAGACCAGGGCTTTGGTTTTCCTTCTCTTTGTATCCCTGAGGGTTCAGGAATAATAGCTGCTGTACTAACACGGGGCGACTGTGTGAATGCCAACGTGTAATACATTTTGTTGCTCCCACAAAGTAAAAACTCCGTCAGTATCTTCACTGGGGTCCGGATACCGGCCCCCATGGCCTCACTCTGGCCGCCTGTCTTCCTGTTCCACAGATCGCTATGCCTCACCAGTGGCTGGAAGGCAACCTGCCCGTGAGCGCCAAGTGTGCCGTGTGTGACAAGACGTGTGGCAGCGTGCTCCGTCTTCAGGATTGGAGGTGTCTTTGGTGTAGAGCAATGGTGAGGGCTTTGAGATCGCTTCACCCTTGTAAATTGAGCTTGTTCCCCGATGTGGCCGTCAGTGCGGCTCAGAGATAAGGCACCAAATCTATGGCAGAGCACACCCAGGCAGCGCACACCCCACCGTGATGTTCTTCTCCTTCACACGTGCATTCTTTTTGGTCTGGTCATTTTTTCAATTGCCCTCCACCCCTTTCAAATAATACCTACTCTTTTCCTGTGTTTTCTGTGTCTCAGGACCTCTTTCCCACAGCTGTAATTGTTTTGCATTTTGCTTCAGCTGTACAGTGGGGTGCTATTTTCACTGGACACAGAAAGCCCCTCGGTGGTGTGCCAGCAGGTTTTGGTTGACATCCAAAACGTGATGTTGCTGCAACCTCATGTGTGTTCCTTGACTGAACGCTGAGCTTTGACAGCATACACTAATGCAATCTATGTGATATAGGTAACATTATATAAATGAATAAATACAAACTTTACAACTTGTTTGCAAGTGCAAGAAAAAGGCAACAAGCACAAATGGCATAATGGGGAGCCAGCAGCAAGGAGTGGTCTCCCTTGTGCTGGACCTGGTGCAGACAGGGCCTTTGTACTGCCTGGGGTGTGTCAGAGTGGAGTGGAGGCCATGCAGGCAGTGCTGAGGCTAACGGGCACAGAGCAAGGAGGCTGTGGCTATGCTGTGCCTGCTCATCTTAGCACAGGGAGATGCCGGCCTTTGAGGACGAAGACTGCCTTGCTTTGTGACTGATTTGTTTGGTGTTGTTTCAAGTCTTGCAGTTTTTTCAAAAGTTGCTGGGCTATGGGGCCGGTGCCATGGCGCACTAGGTTAATCCTCTGGCATCCCATATGGGTACCGGGCTCTAGTCCTGGTTGCTCCTCTTCAGTCCAGCTCTCTGCTGTGGCCCAGGAAGGCAGTGGAGGATGGCCCAGGTGCTTGGGCCCCTGCACCCACATGGGAGACCAAGAGGAAGCTCCTGGCTCCTTGGCTTTGGGTCAGTGCAGTGCCGGCCATGGCGCCCATTTGGGGGGTGAACCAACAGAAGGAAGACCTTTCTCTCTGTCTCTCTCTCTCACTGTCTGTAACTCTACCTGTCAAATAAAAAAAAAAAGTTGCTGGCCTAAATTTGGAAGTCAGCCTCAAACAAAAGATGTGGATAAATCATTGCTTTTGGTAAGTATGGTATAGATCAGCAGGTATCAGAAATAGAACAATGTGTTGCTTGCTTGCTTTTTTTTTTTTTTTAAAGATTTATCTATTTGAAAGGCAGAGTTAGAGAGAGAGAGAGAGAGAGAGAGAGAGAGAAGGAGAGACAGAAAGAGGGGCGTTCTTCCATCTGAAGGTTCACTTCCCAAATGGCTATAACAGCCAGGGCTGGACCAGGCCAAAGCCAGGAGCCAAGAACTTCCTCTGGGTCTCCCATGTGAGTGCAGGGACTCAAGAACCTGGGCCATCTGCCACTGCTTTCCCAGGCACATTAGCAGGGAAGCTGGTGGGAGTGGAGCAGCTGTGACCTGAACCAGTGCCCATATGGGATGCTGGTGCTGCCAGCAACAGCTTAACCTGCTATGCCACAGCACCAGCTCCCAATGTGTTGCTTTGTTAATCAGTGACTGATTGCATCGGCCACAGAGGAAAGTCAGTCCTCCACCTATTTTGTAGGCCTGATAGGTAACGTGTGTTTCCTTTTATTTTTAAATCAAATACTCTTTGTGCATGCATTTGTTATTCTTCATCAATTCCCTCTTTTCCGAGGCAGACATGTAGACAAATAAAAACTTTTTTTAAAAAGATTTATTTATTTATTTGGAGGCCAGAGTTACACAGAGAGAGGAGAGGCAGAGAGAGAGAGGTCTTCCATCCGATGGTTCTCCCCAATTGGCCGCAATGGCTGGAGCTGTGCTGATCCAAAGCCATGAGCCAGGAGCTTCTTCCAGCTCTCCCACGCGGATGCAGGGGCCCAAGGACTTGGGCCATCTTCCACTGCTTTCACAGGCCACAGCAAAGAGCTGGATGGGAAGTGGAGCAGCCAGGACTAGAACTGGTGCCTATATGGGATGCCAGAACTTCAGGCCAGGGCGTTAACCTGCTGCACCACAGCGCCGGCCCCTAAACACTTTTTATTTCTCCTATCCCATTAATGTAATATGTAGACCTGTAATAGGTGCCTCTATTGGGAATCCTAGTGCAGTTCTAGCTAAAATTCTCCTGTGGCAGCCCATATTTTATAAGAGTACTGTCCATAAACTAGACTGTAAATCCCCTCCGCCAACCTATGGTTTTCTTTCTGGGGACAACCACTGATAGCATTTCCTGCTTGGTTACTGAAGTTTGTTTCTCCATCTCTAGAGTTTCAGCTATCCATTCCTTTTTTATTTTCTTTATTTGAAAAAGTTACAGAGAGAATTAGAGATGGAGAGAGAGGACTTCCATCCTCGGGTTCACTCCCCAAATAGCTGCAATGGCCAGAGTTGAGCCATTCAGGAGCCAGGAGCTTCTTCTGGGTCTCCCACATGGATGCAGGGGCCCAAGGACTTGGGCTATCCTCTGCTGCTTTCCAAGACACATTAGCAGGGAGCTGGATCAGAAGTGGAGCAGCCGGGACTCGAACCAGCACCATATGGGATGCCAGTGCGGCGGGCCAGGGCTTTAACCTGCTGTGCCACAGTGCTGGCCCCTCAACCATTCATTTCTTACTTCTTTGAAAGAGGACATATTGTGTGTGAGGAAGTATTTTAGAAATGCTTTATATAAGTTGCCTTTACCTAAAAATTACATGCTTGTACTTCAAAAAGTTCATAGAAAATGGAATTAAAAGATGATTTTATTTTGGTGCAAAAGAATTCTGAAATCCATGCATAATTTTTCGTAATAAGCATTTTCTGTGAACTTTTGATAGACTCCCTTGTATGCATTAAATTCGACAATTTTTTTGCACCAGAATAAGCTTCTCTTTTAAGATTCCATTATCAAAAAGTTTTTTGGAGTACCCTTGTATGTCTCTTTTACTTAGTAGTTTTTGATATAATTAGGCTTTTTAGTTCCTTATTCTATCCAGCCCAAGCTTTAAAAAATGTCACAAAGAGAATAGTGGTGCTATTACAGGCGCACAGGGGCATTATGGACTCTCCCCCTCCCCCCCCCCCCATTTTATTCCTGGCAGAAATCAGATCTCACCTCAGTTGTGACATCGTCCCTGTCCCATGTTGTGCAAGCTGGACATGCTGCTTTCTGACATTCTGTCATCCTTGAAACTCTTTTTTTGGTCTTATACTTCTTAAATACTATCATTTATCTATTTACAAATTATTTTGCCTTTAAATTATGAGTTTCTAATGGCAGAATATCTAGTACTGAAAAAACAGCCATCTAGTACACACACAGACAATCTCACAGTTTGCAATCCCAGTAAGTCAATTCCTAATTTTTCTAGCTGTCATGCAGTCTCTGACATAGCTTTATCTTGTCTGTAAAAGTCGTGTAGATATACTTTTATCTCTTGCTTTTCTCGTTTAACATTATTACAAATACCTTTCTATTTTGTTCTGTGATTCTCATAAATTTTTCAATTCCTTTTAAAGCTGTCTGTGCATGCTGGTTTTTTAAAAATGCATTTGGATTGTTAACTATTATAAATGAGAATAGGAAACTGTCTAAAAACAGGTCATCAACAAAATAATCATCACTGTTCAATTTCAGTTATTCTCCCCCAAAGTTTGATAAATACAAGCGTACTTAGAATGCCACGTTTCTAAAAGGATTAATGGAATAAAGCCATAATAAGTAAGTGCTTTATGACGTGTCTGCTTTTGTTGCTTAGAACATTTACAAAGCTCTCTGGTAAGTACATAGAGGATTCTAAATTGCCTGGGTTCTACTTAATAAATTAGCCCTGTTTTGTCCTCATTTGCTGAGGGCCTAGGATGTGCATCAGTTTCCCTTTCCTGACAGAGCAGTAGTGTAGCTGAGAAAATAGGCCTGGGTGTCCTTGTAAATATAATAATATGGTAATCTTATCAAAAGAAGTATGAATAGAAAGTTATAGGATTGCTGTAGAAAGAGCAGGCACTTTTATTTATTTTCATTAAACTGTCAGAATTTTTTTTAATATTATTTATTTGAAAGGCAGAGTTAGAGAGAGAGGAAGAGACAGAGAAAGCGAGATCCTCCATCTGCTGTTTGACTCTCCAAATGGCCGCAGTGGCTGGAGCTGGGCCAATCAGGAGCCCGGGGCCCTGGGCCATCTTCCACTGCTTTCCCAGGCACATTAGCACATGGGATGTGGGCGCCACAGGTTACCTGCTACACCACAGTGTGTAAGATCGACATTCATCACTTTATTTTATGGGCAGTGATATTGACATACTGGTTAGCTCTCCCACTTTCTCTCTCCCCCTCTTCTTCCTCTTCTCCCTTCATCCCCCCTCCCTTCCTCTGTGTACCCCATCTCTTCTCTCCTTGCCCAGTCAGGCATTGACTATACGCTCCATACTTGAGACCATCGCAGAGAAAGACTGCACAAATTCCTGTCTCTGTAATGCTCACTTTGTTCCATTAATTGGTGAGGCAGTTGCTCCTAAACTGTCAGGTCCTGAGATGTAGTTTATAACATATCAATACATTAATTGTTTTTATGATTCTTGAAGCTTTATTTGTTTATTACTAGGTACACACTGCCTGCAAAGATTCATACCACCTTGTATGTCCACTTGGCCAATGTAAAGTCTCTATCATACCTCCAATTGCACTAAACAGCACCGATTCTGATGGTATGTAGCAGTAGTGTAAGTATGTATATTCCTGGTATATTTAATGTGAATATGAACATTTATTTTCCTGGAATCAGAGAACTATAATTGATCATCCTGGTCAGTTTTTATATAATAATTCCACTTAAATTGCTGAGCAGTACAGTTAATTTTTAAAAGAATATTTTAAAATTAGAGTTGTAATATAGTATTAACACTGGTGAAATTACTGTGTATAGACATTCATATTTCACATTTGAGGAAATAAAAGTAGGATAATTATTCTATACTGAAATGCATTCCGAAAAGGTTAATTTCTGTAAGTGTTTTTTCCTCTATAATTGAAACTGCCCATTAGCGTGGCTGTTATTAAAATCTGTTTTCCCATAATTTTATTTCAGGAATTTATATTCCTGTAAATGCATTCACTTTTTCCAGAATCTTACAGCTAACTTGTAAGTGCTGAAGAACTCTGTACCACACTGATTTTGGAATAGCATAATAACTCTCTTCTAAGCATGCCGTATCACAAAAGGCTTTTACCATGTACTGTCATTAATGTCTTGCATTGATATCACGCTTTATACTTTTCAAACTTGTTAGATAAATTATGGCAATAGAGATCTCAGATATGAGAATGTAAACTTCAAATATATATTTTTTAATCTGTGCTAATAACAGCCCTCCGCCCTCACTCAAGCCCTGATATATCAAGCTTCTTTTGCTTATTGCAAATTTCAAAAATTTTTTTTCTCCAGCCTCACCAAGGCGCAGTTAAAATACCTTAGGATACTGAAATAAGGCCACAGCCATTATTTGACAAATGTAAATGCATAGACTGTTTTGAGACTAAATTATAATTTACTGTTCTAGTAATGAACAAGATTCTTTACTCTTAGGAATTTACCTTCTGTTCTCTGAATGTCTGCTGATGCTTTAAAAGAGAAAGCTGCCTATTAATCTTGTGCTGTGTTTGTGTTTGTTTGTTTTTACAGGTTTCTGTAGAGCAACATTTTCATTCTGTGTTAGTCCTCTCTTGGTTTTTGTCAATTCTAAGAGTGGGGATAATCAGGGAGTAAAGTTCCTTCGCCGTTTTAAACAGTTGCTAAATCCGGCTCAGGTGTTTGATTTAATGAATGGAGGTCCTCATTTAGGGTAATTGATTATTAATTATCTTATTTGAATAAAATGTAGCTCTTGGAATGAAATGTGTCTGACTTAGCAGCTCATGAAAATTGTAGACCTGTAGACATCTCTGTTGATTTTCCATCTCCTTCCCTGTTGTAAAATCCTCATCAAACTTTAGCATAATTTTTGATAGTTATTCATCTTCCTTATATAAATTCCACAATTTATGTTGAATTCCAGATTCCAAAATTTGTTAGAAAATCTTTTAGAATATATCCAACATCGAACAATACCGACAGCTTTTTAGCTCCAAGAAAGGTCAACTTGCATCAATATAGAATTATGCAATAATGTTAGATGATATGCGTGGAAGGGCTAATGTTGATTAATATTTGCCACATATAATTGCTTTCCATGGTGTCCACAAAGCCGAGTACAAACATGATCCTGGTTCTTAAGGACAGTTCCTGGAGAATTTCAGACTCGGTTCTCACAAATGACAATGAAATTCTTTGTGGACTCTTCTTTTCAGCTTTCTGGAATATCATCTGACTTAAAATCTGAAACGAAATGAACTAAATAGTATATTCATTGAAAGGAATATATCTTGAGACATTGTAATACAGCTTTAGTATATGTGTTTGTTTTTTTTTAAGAGGTGCTGCTATGGTGTCTTCTGACCCAGAGACCTTCCATAGCTGTATGAGTTTTTTTTAGGTCAACTCAGCTTTTTTCTCTTGAGTACTACTGTTAACTTAAACACAAACACAGAAGTGGAAAATGGAGATTTTATTTATTTATTTATTTTTGGTTTTTATGGTGTTCTTTTTTTCCTTTGCTTTTTCATTTAAATTTTTAATTTTTCTTTAAATTTTTTAAAATCAATCTTTTAGATTTAACAATTTTTTTTTTTGCCAGGCAGAGTTAGACAGTGAGAGAGAGAGAGACAGAGAGAGAGTCATAAAATGTGAGAGACAGAGAGAAAGGTCTTCCTTCTGTTGGTTCATTCCCCTAATGGCCGCCATGGCCGGCTCTGCACCAATCCGAAGCCAGGAGCCAGGTGCTTCCTCCTGGTCTCCCATGCGGGTGCAGGGACCCAAGCACTTGGGCCATCCTCCCTGCCTTCCCGGGCCACAGCAGAGAACTAGACTAGAAGAGGAGCAACCGGGACAGAATCTGGCGCCCCAACCAGGACTAGAACCCAGGGTGCCGGCACCGCAGGTGGCGTATTAGCCAAGTGAGCCACGGCGCCGGTCTAGATTTAACAATTTTTAACATTTTGCCAAATTCACTTCGTAAGTGGCTATCATATGCATACACATCAACATAAAAATTGTACATATTTATGGGTTAACATATAATGTTTGGATACATGGATACACATTGTATAATGTTCAGCTAGGGTAATATGTCTATCTCCTCTAACATTTAACATCATTTATTTTGTTATGGTGAAAATATCTAAAATCCTACCGTCTAGGCTTTTTAAAATAAAGGAGTATACAGTGCATTATCTGTAGCCACCCCTTGTGCTGTAGAACCCAGAACTTCTTACTCCTGTCCAGCTGTAACCTAGCACCTGTCAATGAACCTTTCCCCTTCCTTCTCTCCTGCTTCCCTCCCAACCCGTGGTAGCCACAATTATCCTTTTAAGTCCCATAACATCACCCTCTTTTTAGACTCCATGTAAGAGTGAGACACATCTTTCTGCGCTTGGCTTAAGGCATGGAGATTTTAGAGAGCAGGACCTGACAAGGCACAGTTTGAGACTTTCCTCCGACTTCTCTGGTTCTGTTCTTTCTGTCCTCTTTTCATTTCCCTGACTATTTCCACAGCTGGTTCCTTGCCCTGTCTCCCTTGTATCTGCTCACCTGAGATCTGCCTGCCTCACTTCCACCCAACTTCTTCCTTGTCTGCTTGCGCCTCACCCTGGGAGCCCTAGAGGGCGCTCCCTCATCCACCTCTCTCCCACCTTCCTAGTCCCCATATCGAACACATTTGTCTTATAAGGAGGACTCTTGATAGGATCTGGCAGGTTTCTTCAGGAAATCGCTAGCTTTGCTGCTCATTAGCATCTGTGCCCTAGATGCCCCACCCCGGTGTGGAATTCCTAAGGAAGCAACGTAACCTTGCAATGGAAAGAGAAATGCCGCTGCTTTCACCATCTCACTTTTCCTTTAGTTCTCTTTCCTGGTTTCTGCTGCTTGTTGATTTTTCTCATTTCTCACTCCCCTTTCTTTCTAATTCTATCGCCATTTCTGCCCTTTCCTTCTTACGATTAAGCTGTTTTCTTGAGTTAAAAATGGCATTCTTGTAGCATAATTAATATGTAATTATTATATTATTACATTATTATTATATGTAATTAATTGATTAATTATTATGATTAATATGTAAGTGTTCTCATATATAAACTGAATGTGTGGGCTGGCGCCGTGGCTCAATAGGCTAATCCTCCGCCTTGCGGCGCCGGCACACTGGGTTCTAGTCCCGGTCGGGGCACCGGATTCTGTCCCGGTTGCCCCTCTTCCAGTCCAGCTCTCTGCTGTGGCCAGGGAGTGCAGTGGAGGATGGCCCAAGTCCTTGGACCCTGCACCCCATGGGAGACCAGGAAAAAGCACCTGGCTCTTGGCTTCGGATCAGCGCGATGTGCCAGCCGCAGCACGCCGGCTGTGGCGGCCATTGGAGGGTGAACCAATGGCAAAGTAAGACCTTTCTCTCTGTCTCTCTCTCTCTCTCACTGTCCACTCTGCCTGTCAAAAATAAATAAATAAATAAATAAAATAAAATAAAAAAATAAACTGAATGTGAATACCAATTAATATGGAATAACAAAAAATTGGGGAAAGTCACTTTTACTTATTTATGCTAAAATGAAATACTTTTTTTCTTGCAGTTTAAGATTATTTCAGAAGTTTGACAATTTCCGGATTCTTGTATGTGGAGGAGATGGAAGTGTAGGATGGGTTTTGTCAGAAATTGATAAGCTCAACTTGAATAAACAGGCAAGTGCTAAAACTTTCTGTTGCTCCGTGACGTGAATATATACTAGCATGCTCACCAGAGCAGGCCTGCTCTTCCAGTCTGGTCATTTGCTTGCCGTGCTGTCTTCTAGTGTCAGCTGGGAGTATTGCCTTTGGGTACGGGAAATGACCTTGCTCGAGTGCTTGGCTGGGGAGCTTCATACGATGACGACACCCAACTTCCTCAGATACTTGAGAAGCTGGAACGGGCCAGTACCAAAATGTTGGACAGGTGAAAGCAAATTTTCTTCTATAACTAGATTGAAGATGGTGTACTGAAATCATTGTTTCTTTTTTATTTAACAAAAATACTTATTTTGTTTTAATTTTGATTATTTTTTGTTTATTTGAGAGACAGGAAAGCTCCCACCCGCTGGTTCACTCCCCAAATACCCACAGTGCATGAGGCTGGGCCAAGCTCAAGCAAGGATCCTGGCTTGCAATCCAGGTCTTCAGCGTGGGTGGCACAGACCCAATTCCTTGAGCCAGCATCACTGTCTCCTAGAGCTTGCATTAGCATGAAGTTGGAATCAGGAGTCAGAGACAGGAATGCAACCCAGACACGTAGTTTTTTGTTTTTTGTTTTTTTTTTTTTTTTGACAGGTAGAGTTATAGACAGTGAGAGAGAGAGACAGAGAGAAAGGTCTTCCTTCCGTTGGTTCATTCCTCAAATCGGCGCTGCGCCCATCCGAAGCCAGGAACCAGGTGCGTCTTCCTGGTCTCCCACGCAGGTGCAGGGGCCCAAGCACTTGGGCCATCCTCCACTGCCCTCCTGGGCCACAGCAGAGAGCTGGACTGGAAGAGGAGTAGCTGGAACTAGAACCGGCGCCCACGTGGGATGCCAGTGCCACAGGCAGAGGTTTAACCCAGTGAGCCATGGTGCCGCCCCCTCCCACATAGTTTGTGATGTGGACATTTTAACCCATAGGCTGCACACCTGCTCCTAATAAAACCATATTTTGATCATTTTACAATAAGCCCCATGAAGGTAGAGATTCCTGGTCTCTGGAGATCGTGAGGGAGAGCAGGGCCTGGCACAGACACTCAATTAAGATGTTTTTCTTAGTGAATGAATAAATTGTGAAAAAACTAGTCTAATGAATCCAGTATTTTAAGGATAGAAGATTATGATGATACTAATTACCTTTAATCGCTGTTCAGGTCAGAAAGCTGAAGTTTGGCTGGGTGGATTTTTTTTTTTTTTTTTTGGACAGGCAGAGTCAGACAATGAGAGAGAGAGAAAGGTCTTCCTTCCATTGGTTCACCCCCCAGAATGGCCACTATGGCCAGCGCACTGTGGCCGATGCACTGCGCAGATCTGAAGCCAGGAGCCAGGTGCCTCTTCCTAGTCTCCCATGGTGTGTAGGGCCCAAGCACTTGGGCCATCCTCCACTGCCCTCCCGGGCCACAGCAGAGAGCTGGACTGGAAGAGGAGCAACCAGGACAGAATCCGGCGCCCCGACCGGGACTAGAACCTTGGGTGCCAGCGCTGCAGGCAGAGAATTAGCCTAGTGAGCTGCGGCGCTGGCCAGCTGGGTGGATTTTGATGAGTAAAATAAGTAGGGACTTCTCATCTTGTGTTTTCACAAAAGTGAAGGAAGATAGAAACTTCATAGAAACTTCATAGAAAAAAAAATATATATATATATTTTAGAGATTTATAGATATATATTTTTTAGGATATCTCTTCTTAGTTGAGCAAATGACGAATGAATTGACCTAACAAAGAACTAAATATTAAAAAAAGAAAATGAATCTTCTCCCAGGGCAGGAGGAAGTGTTAGGAACAAGCATCCAGAGGAGCTATCACTGTGTTTGGGTGATGGACACATCTCATAACCACGTTTTCCCTGAATGCCCCACATCTAAATCAGAAATCACAATTTCTGAGCATTGTGGAGGGAGGGGCTTAGAATTTGGGCAGAGGAAGCAACAGAACTCAGTAAGCAGGAATGCCTGCCCACCCCCTGACCTTGAGTGGAAGACAAATGTCAATATATTGTTATGCGCTGGACCTAGCATGAATCAAAACAACTTTGACAGGATTAGCCATCTGTGTTAACTCTTCCCGAAAGTAGGTAACAAAATCTCATCAGCGAGCTACCCATCCAAAATGTAATTACTCTATGATGAGCTATAACCTAATTAATTGTAACCTCGCTTGTCATCAGATAATGTGGTCATGGCCGATTCTTTTGCTAGCAGAATATTTAAAAAGAGAATCGGTCAGTAGAGCATTTGTCTGTTTATTTAAAATTGTATGAGAAGGACACTCCTAGAGTTTGGGTGTGAAAAGATTCATAATCTAGTGTGGTGCTGAATTCAGACTCCAATCTTTTTTTTTTAAAGATTTTATTTATTAAGCCGGCGCCGCGGCTCACTAGGCTAATCCTCCACCTTGTGGTGCCGGCACACTGGGTTCTAGTCCCGGTCGGGGCGCCGGATTCTGTCCCGGTTGCCCCTCTTCCAGGCCAGCTCTCTGCTGTGGCCAGGGAGTGCAGTGGAGGATGGCCCAAGTGCTTGGGCCCTGCACCCCATGGGAGACCAGGAAAAGCACCTGGCTCCTGGCTCCTGCCATCGGATCAGCGCGGTGCGCCGGCCACAGTGCGCTGGCCGCGGCGGCCATTGGAGGGTGAACCAACGGCAAAGGAAGACCTTTCTCTCTGTCTCTCTCTCACTGTCCACTCTGCCTGTCAAAAAAAAAAAAAAAAGATTTTGTTTATTAAAAGTCATAGTTACACAGAGAGAGAAGGAGAGGCAGAGAGAGAGAAAGTTCTACCATCCGCTGGTTGACTCTCCAGTTGACCACAACAGCTGGAGCTGGGCTGATCTGAAGCCAGGAGCAAGGACCTTCTTCCACGTCTCCCACGAGGGTCTTGGGTCATCTTCTACTGCTTTCCCAGGCCATAGCAGAGATCTGGATTGGAAGTAGAGCAGCCAGGACTTGAACTGGCACCCATATGTGATGCTGGCACTACAGGCGGCAGCTTTACCCACTATGCCACAGCTCTGGCCCCCAGTCTCCAATCTTTTAAAGAGGCTGGAGGTGAAAAAAAGGAAAAAGAAAATGATAACTATGGGAGGCGATGAATGTGTTAATTAGCTTGATTGTGGTGATTACTTCATAATGTGGCTAATTTCATAATGTGTCTGTGTATCAAAACATCACCCATGTATCTTAAATATATAAAATTTTTAGTTGTCAATTAATTCTTAATAAAGTTGAGCGGAAAAGATTGGAAATTATACATTAAAATTGCTTTTATCCATACCAGAGCTTGAAGGTGAATCCTGGACTGCTGTTTGATTCTGTTAGGAAACATTGGAGTCTTTTAAATGCTTTCGTGTTGCAAGTTTAAAGACCATTCCCGCTGCATGCTAGGAAATGCTGTTCGGTATTTTCTGCACCCTGAAAGTGTGCTTTTCCCCTGTGTGTTACAGAAATTCAATTGTCCAGGTAGTTAGCTAAGAATAAGCACTCTGGTGGTGAAATTCCTTAAAACAGAATGGCCTGTAAAATACACAAGAAAAGAAAATCTTAGAGGATATAAAAACTTAGGAACACTGTTAGAAATAAATGACTATCATGTTCCTGTGTTTTCTTTACTAATGTACTGTTTGTAAAGAAAGAGTGAAGAGGAGGGCCGGTGCCTTGGCACACTAGGTTAATCCTCTGCCTGCAGTGCAGGCTTGCAGAGACCATGGGTGTAAGAACTACTGGTATTTCATGTCTGCCTGGCACTTCTAGTCATCTGACTTCATCTCTCACCATCTCTGTGCATCACCATTGCACTCCTAGGGATAGCTAACATTGTCATCTTTATTTTACTGGTAACAAGGCTCCCTGGGGTGAGCACTGTGGGCAGTTAAGCTGCGACCTGGGATGCCTGCATTCCATATCAGAGTGCTTGCATTCAAGTCCCATCTCTGCTCTCCATTCCTGCTTCCTGCTAATGCACACCCTGGGAGGCAGTAGGTGATGTCTCCAATAGTTGGGTCATTGACACTTAAGTGGAAAACCTGGATTGAATTCCTACACCTGACTTTGACCTGGCCCAGCCTTGGCTGTTGCAGGGATTTGAGGAGTGAACCAGAAGATAGAATCAATCTCTCTCTCTCTCTCTCTTCTCTCTCTCTCTCTCCACCCCTACTCTGACTCTCTGTGTGTTCCTGTGCCTCAGATAAAAAAAAATTTAATTCAGCATTTTGTAAATTACCCAAATGCCATTTCTTTCTGCATTTGTGGCTATTTTAAGATGCAATAATCCATAGTACGTGAGTATATGTATATGCTGATATATGTATTTGGGATGGGAACTCTCAGCTTGTTAAATTTCAAAGGACTTTTAGAGCAAAGATGTTTTTCCCCTCAGGTGGAGTATAATGACGTATGAACTCAAATTGCCACCAAAGGCTGCTCTACTTCCAGGACCTCCAGAAACATCGGAAGAACTTTATGTAAGACTTATATGTAAGACTTAAGTATATAAGACTTTATGTAAGACTTATATAAGACTTTATGTAAGACTTATATAAAGGGTTACATATTTGCCATTTGAAATAGGGGCAGATACCTTGCAAAAAATAAGAACATTTACTCATAAGCTATGACAATGTGTTATTCAATTTCATTTTTTTTTTTTTTTTTTGGGTGGTGGTGGGGGGAGAGGTGGGGTTTATTTACAATCTTATTAAACCAAAGTTCTTGCGACTGAGCAATCTCTGAGCCACTACAGGTGCTAGCCAGAGAGGCAGGACTGGTCCTGGGACAAGCGCCCTCCAGCCACCAGCCAGAGTATTTTACAGTAAAAACGTGGGGAGAAGAAGACCCGAAGTGCTCACACTGGCTCTACACGGGCTGTGGATGAGAGCTGTGGGACAGCACTGAGTGGGTGGAGCTTTGAAGTAGGGGGACGATCTACCTGGAGAAGGAGTGGCCGCGCTCGTATGCAGAACCACGGCACCTTGGCGGTTATCCTCCTGGGCTTTTCCCTTGAGGATTGTGAACACACTCCTGTCGTTTTGGTTTGTCCCAGCGCTGTTCAACTGAATAGCTTTTCTTGCTTCTCCTCTTCTCCATCCTCCCACCTCGTCCCTACCTTCAGGGCATCTCAGGGATTTTTCCTTTCCTGTTTTAGTGATTACTCCCATCATCTCCCCCAGAGACAAGACTCTTGCTGAAGATCGAGGTTTTAGGATCTTCCCTGACCATCCACACTAGGAAGGTGAATTTAGCTGTCACTTGATTTTATGGTCCTTCATTATATCATCTGTAAGTGAGGATACAGGCTTGTGAGTTTATGCATTTGGAAAGCAGGGCACACACACACACACACACACACAGAGGAGAGAGAAAGATGGAGAAAGAGAGAGAATCTCCTGTCCGCTGGTTCATTCCCCAAATACCTGCAACACCAGAGCTGGGCTAGGCCAAAGCCAGGGGCTGGGAACTCAGGTCTCCCGTGTGGCAGGGACCCAACTATTTGAGCTCCCACCTTCTTCCAGGGTGTCCATTGGCAGGAAGCTGGAATGAGGAGTGGAGCCAGGACTCAAACCCAGGTACTCCCGCATGGGATCAGGTGTCCAAAGTGACTTAGCCGCTGCACCCAACACCTGCCCCAGCAGTGGTGACATTTAAAGCTTTATTCTCCGTTTCACTAAGTCCATTTGATCTGTGCTAGCTTATTGTTCTCTCCAGTTCAAATTTGTCTTTTGTCATTAAGGAAATTATGAACTTGTCAAAGCTAATGTGAGGAATAATAGCTAGAAATATGATCCTATTCCTTATAGAAGCTAATTATATTTTTGATACTTTTTCTGTTATAATGGTGGCAAAAACAACTTCTAAAAACTTCAGAAAATAACAATGAAAAATAAAATAATAGTCACTTTTAGTCTTTTCATCCAGTGATAACTGTTGAAGATGAATATATTTATTTACTTTATCCCCAGCAGCAATTTTAGATACAATATTCTTCTGACTATAAACATAATGTTTTTATAGAAACCAGTCTTTTTGCCTCAATAATATTTTGGTAAATTTATTAGCTTTGTTTCTGAAAAAGAGAACAGGGGGAGTTATTTTTGCTCTACTTATTTTTGTCACATCTATAATCACCAAACAGGAGGTACAATTTTAAGTAGATGAAGGGTATCTTTTCTTTTTTTTAGTGCAAAAGGATTTTGAATGAGCTTTATTCTGGTTTTCATAGACGTATTTTCAGAACAAAGGGAAAGCATCTTTCAAGATTATAGATTTATTGGGTGTTCTGCATGACCCTGACCAAGACTCAGATGCCCTCTGACTGCCACTGGAGATGCACTTGACTGTGTGTGAGACTTCTTGACCTTGACAACTGCATTAAAATCAAGCTAAACCCTTCTTTGTTGCTTATCTGTACTCTACTAGCTGTGGGTCTTAGGAAAAATCACTCCAGCCACCTAAGCCTCAGGTTTCTAGGCTGTCAAACAGGATGCTAAATAAATACATACAGCACAGTGTCTGGAATACAACAGAAAATGTTCAACCTTTTTATGACTTCCCTTCCTGACCCTGCTAAGTGAGTACATAAGTGACACTTATAGTTTAATCCTTGGACATAGGGGTTATTTTATTTTACTCTAAAAGAGGTTGTGATTTTTTTGTCTTTGAATATTTTTAATGAACAAAAACTTGGATTTTTAAATTTTAAGCTTCGAAGCGCATTAATGACTGACTCATTAATTAGTGATATACATGTTCTTTTAAAAGACTTGCCACTTTTCAGAGAATAAGACTAATCTTTGAAGAATGTTTCCTTTTTGCATTTTAAAAAGGTATTTGCCTTTTTCTGATGTTAAGTATAAAGATGCATTTTAGCATTATGTCAGGAGATCAGTAAAGTAGGTTCCTGGGTCAGTACAGTGTGGAGTGTAACTGTGGAGTTCCTGCCCTCCCCTTCTCTCCTTGGTGTGAAATTATTTTTCCATACATGACCTCTCTTTGAAGGAGGTGGGATAGAAATTTAAGGGAGAAGCATACTGACTAGCCATGGTGCACTTGAGTGTCAGTTAGCAATGAAATTCCTCGGGGAAGAGGCCAGTGGGGAAGGCGTGATGGGGAGAGGGATGTTAATTGAATCTTGAGTGCAGTCTGAAGAGACTTAGGCTGATGGGCGCGGAGCCGTGGAGAGATGGGCAGAAGAACACAGGAGGCCCTCCACAGCTGGTCATTTACACTGGAGCTTTCTGCACTGTGTGGCAGGCGGCGTATCTGGGGCAAACGTTTAGTAGAGAGCTGTGAACATGAGGCTGTTCAAATTGTGTGCACATTTTTTTAGGGAGATGTGTTCTTTTGCAAGAAGGTGTTAAAGCTTGAGTCAAATAGAAAAGGGGATGGAGGACATTTTGAGTATTATGGTTTTATTAAGAGTATTATGGTTTTATTTTTATTATTTATTATTATTATGGTTTTATTAAGAGGTCCTTATTTACTTGATTGTATGATAGTCTAGTCAACAATTTTATAAAAAGATTATTTATTTTATCTGAGAAGCAGAGAGAAAGAGAAAAAGTCTTTCATATTTTACTGCTTCCATCTTTTACTGCTTTCCCAGGCCATAGCAGAGAGCTGGATTGGAAGTGGAGCAGCCGGGACTTGAACCGGTGCCCATATGGGATGTCAGCACTGCAGGCAGCGGCTTTTCCCGCTACACCACAGCACTGGCCCCAACATTCAACATTTAAAAAAAAAACTTCTATGAAATTATACATACTGGAAGGTGCACGTATCATGACTACACAGCTTAGTATATTTTCACAAACTAAACAAACCTGTGTAATTAGTACTGAGATTACAGGACAGCATTCAAGTGTTCCAGGAGTCCTCTTTGGCCCCCCACCACTATCCTGGCTTCTAACAACATAGAGTACTGTTTCGGTTTTTGTGCTTTGTAAAATAGAGTCATCTTGTATGCTCTCTTTAGTATCTGGTTGCTTTCCCTCAATGCTGTGTTTGTCATACTCATCTATATTGCGGCACAGTCATCTAACTCCTTCATTCTCTTTGTCCTACACTAGCCCATTGCATAAGCAAACCACAGTTTGCTATCCACTGTGCTATCTGGGAATGTGAATGCTGCTGGGAACATCTAGCACACATCTGCATTTCTTTGGGATGTAGATACACTAGTTGAATTGTTGGTCCCATGGTATTGCACATGTGTTCAGCTTTAGTAGATACACTGGATAGATTTCTAGAGTATTTACATCAATTTACACTCTCATCGGCAGTGTGTGAGGGTTGTATAGGTCCACACTACGCTAACAATTGGCATTTTCTGTTTGTTACTGTTTTTGTTTTTCCCATTCTGATAGATACATACACCATTCATTATCATATGACTTATAGCGTATGTGCATTGGAGTTTTAGTTCACATTTGCCAGATGGCTGATGAAGCTGAATACCTCTTCATCTGTTTCTGGACCATTTGGATCTTCTCCAACTTAAATTTCTAGTCTTTTGCCCATTTAAAAAATTAGATTGTTTGGCTGTTTTGTACTAATTTGTAGGAATTCTTTTTACAATAAGGCGTTTGACATATTTTGTTCAAAAGATATTTTTCTGGATTTTTATAAAAATAAAAGAAGTCTAGAAACTGAAATCCTTTCACAGAAATGAGATATTTATCTGTTTGGCATAAGGACCCCTTTTTCATTGTAGCCAGTGCTCCGTCTCACATGCCTCGTGAATGTTACCATGTATGAAACAGTAGTAAGGACTGAGTTGTGTAAATGGCACCCACGGAAATACAGCATAGGCTTTATTTTTTTTTCTTTGCAGATGACAATTTATGAAGACTCAGTTGCAAATCATCTTACGAAGATCGTCAATTCTGGTGAACATGCAGTGGTCTTATCATCTACCAAGTGAGTTGTGGAGCTTACGTCAGGAGGTAGTTCCACAGTGATGATGAAGGAAAGCTGCTTCCTAGCTCTGACATCATTACTTTGTGATTTTTCTTTTCAGAAAGTATCTGTGAAGTAGCTTGTAGGATTTGATACACTAAGTTTAAACTGAATTCTAAAAATCACTTTAACATCTTCTTTGTAAGTAGACTATATTTAGAGGGTATATTTTTTGCTATTTGAAACGTTTTTGTCAAAAAAAGGTATAATACATCTCTAGACTTTAATCTAAATGTTATTTAAGGAAGTGTTTATAATTAATCACAAAATGAAAAGCATGTTTCATTACAATGATTTTCATAAACACTACTGTTTTGCAACTATGTACATCAATAGAAGGAAACTAATGATGAGATTTTGCAAAATTACCTTTCTCAGCATGTTTAAAATTGCATAATTATGTTTTAAAATTCAAAATTGCCAGATTTTATTTAAGCTGATTCCATACATGGAGCCAATGCCACTTGATGTTACCCAAATATTTCCTGGCTGGAATTTAGAATTTTGCTTTTGAAGCATTCTATACTGATGTCATGAGAATTGGAAAGTCAGCCAGAGGAAAGAAGTGAAACCAACTGAAATTTTCAACTTCTAAGTAGAAGAATGCTTTTAGGATTCCGGCTTAGCGAGCAAATATTACTGTTACACAGAGAGAAAGACAAGGAGGGAGAGGGAAGAAGGAGTGGGAGGGTTGTGAAGGAAAACTACACAGACTTCACTATAGTGTAGACACAGTTTGCCCCAGAAAAGAAAGGCAAGATAAGCCATAAACACATCTGCTGGTGACCAAGGTATAATCGGCGTAACAGTTGCTTTGGATGACATAGCCCTCAGAAAGAGGAAAGAGGACGAGGAAAAGGAAGAGCACAATGGCGTAGGCCAGCCAAGCACATTGGGTGGTCCAGAATGCCTGGGCTGTAGACCTTCCTTGTTTGTTGGGCAGTGCTGCTGTTGGTGAATGTGTGGTTACTGAATTGTAATGCTTTCTGGTGAAACATGTGACTCTCTAGGTTGTCCCAGGCCTTAACACTCCCTATTCCTTGTCTCATCCTGGGCCCCCATTCATACATCTAAGTTGCATTTTGAGTGTGCCACGCTGCTCCTGGGAATCCAATGCATCTTTGTAGAGCAAATTGGAGGGCACTGTTAGAAAAGATGGAAAACTGAAATGGAAGGTTTGCAAAGTATAACAAGATGTAACTTTAAAAAATCATCCTTTGTTTAATACAAGGGAACCTGGAAAACTTTATGGAAAATAGAAGTAAAGGTAAGTTTATTTTGGTGCAAAAATATTTTGAAGTCCATGCTTAGTTTTTTCATAGCATAAGAATTTTCCACAAACTTCTTTTTAAAAAAATTTATTTATTTATTTTGAAAGTTGGAGTTGCAGAACGAGAATGACAGACAGTGACAGAGACAGAGAGAGCGTGAGCTTCCACTTGCTCGTTCACTCCCCAGGTGGCTGCAACGACTTGCTCTGGGCCAAGCCAAAGGCAGGAGCTAGGAGCTTCATCTAGGTCTCACACATGGGTGGTGCAAGGTGTCTGGCACATAACAAATCTTCCCAGGCAGACAAATCAATTAATTCACAGGCTGTTATTGGGATTCCGCTCCTGGGCAAGGTTCCCCGGTCCCAACAGAGTGGGGGCCGGGGAAGTCATGTGTCAGAAGTTGGGAGGGCTCCTTTTATAGATACAGGGCATGGGGGTTAAAGGTTGAGGCGGGTCTGATCCTCATTGGTTGACCTTTAGGCACCGGCGGGGACCTTGGCAAGGACTTTTCTTCCCCGGAATTGCGGATAGGGACTCTCCATTCCCGGAAGTATAGGCCTTCCCTCCTTGCGGATCCCAAAGCTACCATCCCAACCTTTTGATGATAGGAAAGGGAGTGACAGTGAGTCTCTGTGGCTACTTCCTGCTGACTGGGGATGTCGTCTACAGGGGCCCGCTGCGGGTATCTTAGGGCTCCTCAGGGACAGGCATGTATGGATGGAGAAGCATTTGGTTGACTGCCTGGTTGCTGAAGGCCGTGGTTCATTCCATTATCACCTGCTGTAAACACTTAAACAGACACTGTAGTATACAAGTCAGGGTGCGAATAGCAACCAATGATCCTAAGAGTGGCATTAACCAGGTAATGAAAGAATTTCATAGAGGAGAGGAAATGGGGGGGGGGGGTGTCTCTGGACTCTTATGAGGACAGTTTGATGGATGTGGCTTAAATCTGATCCCAGCCAAGACTGGGAGAAAGGCCACTCAACTTTTGCAGGTAGAGTGGTTTGTCTGTAGAGAAATTCTGAATAATCATACAACATTAAGTAGGGGAGAGGACCATCAGTACACAGGTTGGGAGTAGAGCCATTAATGTTAGAGTAGAGACTATGATTACAAAGGAAGGTGCTGTCTAAGCCACGAATAAGTTCTCCGATTGAGAGACAAATAGAAACTGATGGAAGGGACTTGATAATAATCAGGTGGGCTTTAGGCCTTATAAGTTAAGAGGCCCAGGTATCTATATCTATCTCTTCATAGTGTACATCCTAAGGGAAGTGTGAACCTCCTTGGGGAAGGCACCCTATTGACTTCTATTACCTACTTGGCCTGAGAGGAGAGCTGGCCAGGTAAAGGCAGGTGGCATCTCTAACAGGAAATTTACAGTTCTGCCTGCAATGTTGCTGACCCTACTTGGCTGTCCCCTCAGCTGTGGTGGTCACTTTGGAAGCTGGGCTGAGTGAGGGGCTTTTAACCTTAGAGCCAGCAAGATCTATGGCTCTGACCTGAAGTCCTTTGACTCCAGGGCAGGTCCATTTCCAGTGATCCAATTCTTGGCTGGCAGAGCTGCCAGGGCTCTTCAAAAGCTGACTTCTGTTGAAGCCCAGGCTTGCCACATTGCAAGCCACTGCAGTAGACTGGCTTGTTGGGTCTCCTTGAGGGCATATTACTATACAGAACAGCCATTAACAGGCCTGTCACCTATCTTTACATAGCTTCTGATGCCTAGCTTTCTTTTCCTCTTGGTTTTTGTTAAAGCAGACCAGAGGATGCAAGTCAAGGGGGTGCTTAAGTCCCATCTCTAATCTTTGTGGCCTAAACTAGAAGTCTGTAGTCACAGGCATGTTCTGGTAGTAGTTTTTCTGAGGTAGATAATGCCCATGAGGAAAGCTATGTCCTAGCTTTAAAACTTTCTTACCCTTTGTTTGGTCTGAAAGGGAGGTCTTTCCTGTTTACTGTGCCCATGGCGAAGTCCTTCAGAATAGAATTAGTTTCCTACCTCAAAGAGAATAGAGAAATGAGAGAACCAGTTGGACTTAGAATAGAGAAATGAGGGAGCAAGTCCTAGATTGCCTACTGACAATAGCAATATCAAATTAAAACTTAGCAAGTGATTTACCCATTGCTGTTTCATTGAGTACTGATTACCCAGAAACCTGTTAAAATAAATTGCAAAATAAGTTTAGCAAGTTACAAAGCAATATTTTCAAAGTTAGTGATCTTCCTAGATTTAAAGAGAAATTCCTTCAAACTCAGTGTCTAGTTACAGTTGTATTTTTCCTAAGAACACCTTAGGCCCATGATGTCATATTCAGTTGGCCATGTGGGGCTTAGGCACTTGACCTAAAACCCAGCAGACCAGAGGGGTGGGGTGAAGAAGGGAAAAAAGAGAGAGAAGGAGAGTGTAAGAGAGACAAGAGAGGAGAGGAGCTAGTGAGGAGAGAAGAGAGAGCAGGAGAAAAGAGAGAAGAGAAAGGAGACCAGAGGAGGAGGCTAGAGAGCCACGTGTTCAGGAATAGGTCCTTTTTAAACTTTGCTGGAGGGCGGCCAGGGAAGCAGGAGCATTCCATTAGGGTGGGGGTGGAGCTTGACACCGGTGGTTGGGCCACATGGCTACCTGGCTTTCAGCAATGGTAGCGGGGAGAGGCAGGACATGGTGGTGGGGAAGAAAGCACATATGGGGGTGGGAGGTTCCTGGCTAGCTGTGGGTCCCCAGGAACTCAGGAGGATCTGAAAAGGTGGAAGGTGGAGAGTTTGGCAGTAACACAGAAAAGGCGTCCTTAGGAGGTGGGTGCCTGATCTTGGCCAGCAAGACCTGGGCTGTGGATCAGGCAGAGAGGAAAGTAGGGGAGAAGGGAGTAGGATGGGAACAGAGGTTTCAGAAAGCCTGGACATATGGGACCTCTGACCATTTTCTCTCCCTGCGGCAGAAATTCTCAAGGTCGGTGAGGACATTGGGGCCTCCCCCAGGGTGCCACTTAGATCCATTGTCAAGTACATAATTAGGCCATGCCTGGGTGAAGTAGAAGATTAGGCGTTTACGCTGTAGGTTCTGGGCCAGTCCCAGTTGCTTCAAGTTCTTTAGGAGGCAGGCCAGGGGGCATTTTGAATCCCACCCTTGGGATTGGCCAGATCCCATGGTCTCCCCGGCAGCCCGGATCTACTGAAATTTGGTCAAGGCGTCCCCTGCCCCAGACTTCAGTAGACGGAATAGAGGTCAGTCCTCCACGGGGCCAAGCCAGTGGCGAGACATCTCCACAGCCACTGGGAGGCTAAACAGCGGAGAACAGAGGCCATGGGCACACGATTTGGAGGTCTCTGTCCGGACGGAGAGCTAGCCGGAGATCGCAGAGAATGGGCCAACCCAGAGGAGGGAGGGAGAGCAGGGCAGGATTACTTACAGTTGGTCGAGCGCTCTCTGTAGTCAGCCTGGGGCACCAGACAGGTTCAACGAGCAAGGGGACCTCGAACCCGGTAAGGGGAGGCGTGCACCCTCAGCTCCCAGGTTTCGGCACCATCTGCAAGGTGTCCGGTGTGTAACTAATCTTCCCAGGCAGGCAAATCAATTAATTCACAGGCTTTTATTGGGATTCCACTCCCGGGTGAGGTTCCCCGGTCCCAACAGAGTAGGAGCCAGGGAAGTTGCGTGTCAGAAGTTGGGAGGGCTCCTTTTATAGATTCAGGGCATGG